TTCAGGGCTTCTGTGAGAGTTGGGCTGCGGGGGAGGAGGTGACCGTCCAACGTCCTACGCCTGGGCCAGGACAGAAGCAGGATGAGGCCAGAGACGGGACTGGACCTAGAAGAAGGGTGGGCAGCAGGGGCATCCTGAATTGCCTGGAAGGTGTGGTTGGGGAGCAGCTGGACCTGTAGGAAAAACTAAGTGAGCCGTTGCAAGAGCCACAAATTGTCATTGTCATTTATTGAGCACCTCCTGGGTGCCCCCATCGTCCTAATATCTCTTGTTAATGGGAGGCACAGGGTGAGGATCGGGAGTAACAGGATGGCCACCAGGATGGTGGCCGGGTTACTAGAGCATCGGTTGAAGGGCTTTTAAATGAGGATTAAATTAGCGAATATGTGGAAGGCAGTGTATAGATGTGAAGTTGGAGGTTAGAATGTGAAGGCACAACGAGGAATGCGAGGTTGGAACGCCCAGGTGGAGCTCCCATGGAACTCCGGGATGGAGGGGAGGGCGGGGTGAGTGGAATTTGAACTTTGGGAGAGGGCCTGGAATTTTGGCTGCGGCAGACCTGGGGATGAGGAGATAGGACAAGACAATTAGGGAATTAAATAGACAATGAAGGCGCCGCTTGGTAAACATTTGTGATAGGATTAGGCTGATGCAGATGCTGGGGTCCAAGGCTTTGAAGGCCGTGACCGGATGGGGCGGGGCTCTAGGTGGGAGGAGCCCGCACTGCCGCTGAGTGACAATTTCTCCCTCCCCTAGGTTGGCCAATCTCAAGCCAGAAGATGAAGGCTCTGTGGGTTGCGTTGGTGGTCACGCTCCTGGCCGGTATGAGGGCGGAGCTTGCTCTGGTTCCCTGCCCCCGCCCCCTTCCATCCTCCGCTGCACCCCTTGCCCTCCTTCCATCCCTGGGTCCCCTCTTCTGCTGGTCTATCTCCTCAGGTCTGAGGCCTCTCTGACATTCACTGGCTCTGAGCAGCTGTTTTACTAACTCTGAGCCACAGTTTCCCAATCCTTAAAATGGGAGTTATAACAGTTTCTAATGCATCGTTGTCAGTCAGGTAGTGAGCACTAGGTAAGTGTCAGCTGTGATTAGTTTTATTCTCCGTCACCCCAGCATGGCCCTGCATGGAGAACAGGACAATCAATGCTGGTCAAGTGATTAAATGTGCTGGATGTCCCTCCACCCCCGTCTCTGCTCACCAGCTCTCTAAAGAAGCCCACCAGCACTGGTTGAGCACCTACTCTGTACCAGGTACTGTGTGCCTGCAGTGGGCAGAGGACCCTGACAGCCATGAACTTGCTCCCGTGCAGGATGCCGGGCGGAGGTGGAGCCGGAGCCAGACGTGCAGCTGGGGCAGGAGCAGCCCGAATGGCAGGGCAGCCAGCCCTGGGAGCTGGCTCTGGGTCGTCTCTGGGATTACCTGCGCTGGGTGCAGACGCTGTCTGACCAGGTGCAGGAGGAGCTGCTCAGCACCCAGATCACCCAGGAACTGACGTGAGTGTCCCTGTCCTGGCCCCTGATCCTCCTGGCAGGCAGTGCCTTCTGGACCTTCAGCCTCTACTGGTCTGGGTTTCTTTTTGTCCCCCGGCGCCGATTCCTGGGGGTCTGGGTCTCTGTTCATTTCTTGCTTTCTTTCCATTTTGAGCTCCTGGCTTCACCTCTCTCCGATTCTGTTTCTCGGCGCTTCCTGTCTCTGGAATATTACTCTCCTGGTCCTCCATCCTTCTAGCCCAAGATCCCTATTTCTCTCTCTCCATGCCCACGCTCCCGCCCTCTCGGCCCCCAGGGCGCTGATGGAGGAGACCATGAAGGAGGTGAAAGCCTACAAGGCGGAGCTGGAGGAGCAGCTGAGCCCTGTGGCCCAGGAAACCCGGGCCCGCCTGTCCAAGGAGCTGCAGGCGGCGCAGGCCCGGCTGGGCACGGACATGGAGGACTTGCGCAGCCGCCTGGCGCATTACCGCAACGAGGTGCAGGCCATGCTGGGCCAGACCACCGACGAGCTGCGGAACCGCCTGGCCTCCCACC